AGATGGTGGAAAAGTCGCCCCAAGAGGCTTTTCCACAAGGAGGGGGAAAAAACAGAACACACAAACACACCAATAAATAAATTCCCTGGCTCTCTTTCATTCAATTATCCTGGTCACATCCCCAGGGCCATTCTGTAGCCAATCCTCTCTCCTCTTACTGCTGAGACCCCTTTACATGGCATCAAGGAGCATTGTTTGACTTGGGTCAAAATACAAGAGGTTGTTATTCAAACACAGGTGTGTGTGAGTGTAAAGAAGAAGGGTCTTCTACTCATATATAACTCTGATTCCACTCCCTACCTGGGCCTCGGAAGAAATGACACACTGGCAAAATTGATGATGTCTAACTCCATTCAAACTCTAAAACACCGTGATTCTCTGTTAATTTCAGAATCATACCTACTGTTCTCTTGGTGTTTTTGTTTTTTTGTTTTGTTTTTTTTTTAACAAGAAATAAAGGAAAGAGACAAAAGGGAATGGGGAAGGAGAAAAGGGTGAAGGAAGGGAAAGGGGGCATAAATGTTGAATGACTGAGAGAGGAGGAAGGAGAATACGGATGGAGAGAGCGAGAGAAGGGAGGGAGCACTGGAAAGAGGAAAACTAGCAGACATGGGAGACAGAGGAAAGGGAGGGAAACGAGGGAGGGAGACGGGGGAAGAAGAGAGGGAAGGGAGGAGGGAGAAGGAAAGGAGGAGAAGGGAAAACGGGAGAGGAAGAAGCAAAAAGAGGGAGGAGAAAAGATGAGAAAGGGGTGGAGGAATGGGGGGTAGGGAGGAAAAAGGTAGGGAGAGAAGGCAAGATATTAGGGAAAAAAGAAAGAAAATGTAAAAGGGAGAGAATAGAGGTCCTTTCTAGAGCTCGTGGGACCCTGCCCCGGGAGGGAGCCCCTCTCCGCCGGCCACAGCTCCCGCCTGGGCGGGGCGAGGGGAGGGGAGGGAAGAGTGGCTGGTGCCTGGCCCCTCCGGCTGCAGTCAGCCAGCTGAGGAGACAGAGGTGGCTGCGGGAGCCCGGAGGGAGAGGGAGCGGGGAAGATAGGAGCCTGCCCGGCGGGCCCAGACACTGTCAGGCGCAGACATTCTCTCAGGGCGCCCCCTCACGGCCTCCCCACGGGCCCAAGCCCCGGTTCCCGCCCGTCCGCCCTACCTGAGGGCCCGGGCGGGGTCGCTACGGGCCGCTCCGGGGAGCCCCGGGGCGACGGCGATGACGGGGATCGGCGACGAAAGCGCCTCCTCTCCCCGGGGCACGGCTCGGCTGCGGCTCCGCGGCCTCAAACTCCATCGGGAGCAAGCGGGAAAGCCCCGTTGGCGTTGGTGGTGTTGGCGGCGTTGGCGTTGGCGGCGGCGGCGGCGGCGGCGGCGGCGGCGGCCGCAACGGCGCCTCCTCCTCCTCCTCCTCCTCCTCCTCCACCTCCACCTCCTCGCGAGAGGCGGACGGGGAGGGAGCCGGGCCCCGGGATCCTCTCGCGAGGAGACACGCCCCAACTCGCGCGAGATCGCGCATGCTTAGTTCCTTACTCTTCGCCCTTAGGGCTTTCAGGTTAAGCCACCCTTATCACGTGACTCTAGAGCAACACTGGGGCACTCTGGGAAACGAGGAGGACTGAAGGAGAGATTTCTGGGAAACTCCCGTCCATCCTCTGTGTTTTGTAGCAGCCCGTATAATAATCTCAAGCTAAAGTTGGCCAAGCCATCCATGAAGTGGCTCAAGGACAATGGTTAGATTTAATTTCTCTCCATCTCCCCACAAAGTTGGCAGGATTTGACACATAACTTTAATCCTATTTTGCAAACAGTATTGGCCCTAACCAAGCTGGCCCTTAGGAGCAAGTTCTAAAATTGACCTAACACTGGGCTTCTAAATGGAGCCCTGCTTCTTACTGTTTTAGGTAAGTCACATAATAAATGTAGGGGACTTTAACGTGTTAAATGATTATCCTTTAGGTCTATTCTAAGTCTAAATATCTATGTCCCCTTTGAAATGTCATGTCTGATACTTAGTACACAAATCTATTGCTATAGGTTTAAAAGCAGTTTTATGCTTTACTCAAATTTTTTTTCGTTTAAGTTTTCCTGTTCCATGACCACTACTAGCTGAAAACAAGCAATTAAGTAGTTATTGATAAAATTTTCTTGTTTCTAAGGATTTAAAATGAAGGAACTCCCACTTTACAGAATAAACCAAGGAAAGTATAAGAATTGCTTAATGGCTGTGACTGACCAAAGCACTTCACCTGTCCTGAATCTCTTTCTTCATTTGTAAAACAAGAATAATACTTACTCTGCCCTACCTCACAGGGTTATTGTGAATTTATATTTTTATATCTGTTACATTATAAAGTTTGCAAACAAGGAAACCATTTTTGTAAACCTCAAACCTTATCTTTTCTTGAAAATTTCATAAATCTCCACAAAATCATCAATCTCTTATACAACCTCAATTTTATTATCCTAAATATTAAGTTACACATTTGAGAAAATGGTACAAATCAGGTGAACAGAAGAGACAAGTGGTATTTCATTTAGAGGAAATCAATTGTCAGTTTTCTTCAAGATCTTTAAAACAGAAACTTAATAAAGACAAAGCTTTAATTCAGGAATATGGACCTTTTTAGTTTTCTCTTGGCCATGAAAAAAAAATCACATTAAATTCTCTACAATGAAAAATTCTACTCTGTACAAAATAAGGTATTTCTAAGTGATTAGCACAGTGTCTAGAACATGGTAGGCACTAGATAAATGCTTGTTCCTTTCTCTTTCCCCTTTTCTACCCTAACACACCTGCATTTCTAAAATGATTTCACTTTCCAAACTCCATTGAGATATACTGTGCAAGCAGATACTGCTCTGAGAATTCCTTCACATGGAAACATTGTGTTATTGGACAGTATAACCAACATTTCCAATCTTTCTCTCTATCCCAAAGATCTAAAAGTGCCTTACAAAAGGATTCTCATGACATTCTTATAAGGTATACAGGTATGTGTATATACATGTACATATACATATATGTATGTGTGCATATATGTCAATACCTAAATTAGTTACAATTGGGAAGAAAATATTTTTAAAATATTGAGCTGGGTAAGAGGTACATTCCCCAAAAATGTTATTTCTTATGAACTATTCTGTCCACCCACAAAATGTTTTACGTTTTAAAACATAAAACTACCAATGAGGAAAAATAAAGCTTCAAATTTAATCTCAAGAAAATTTCTTCTGAAAGGTCTAAATATAATTATTTTAAAGGTCCAGTTCAAAAGACAGTTAAATTGCTGAAAAAGTGAGATCCTTGAAAGCAAGGACGTCTTATTTGACCACGTTATCAGTATATCTTGGGCAAAGACATTTTCTTCTATGTACCTGTTTCATCATCTGTCAAATGGGGATAATAATTTTACTCCCTATTTCATCAGATTTTTGTAAGGAAAGTATTTTGCAAAAATATAAATCCTGGCACATAAGCCCACTTCTCCATTCATAGATGGTAACTTAAACATATTTATTGAATGTTTTTTTTTTCTGACAGAGGAAAAAAAATCCATTGTAGTGAAATTCTGTCACTACATTTAAAACATTTTATATAGCTTTATGTATGCCCTCTCAAGTCTTCCATCTTCTAGCTCAAATGACCAGTGAAATTTAAATTCATAAATTAGAGCTGAAACCATATCAATCAAATTCATTCTCTTCATTTTGTAGCTATGGAAAGTAAGGTCCGGAAAGTCTAAATTACATTTTCAACATTTTAAGATTCTATGATTCTATGTTTTCCACAGATACTAGGAAATAAAGTCATTTAGCAACTATATGTTAAATGATCCTCAGCTGAGGGGCAGAATGAGCTACAGAAAGGCCATCCTCAGTGTAAGACAGACTTGGGTTCAAGTCTTACCTCACACACATACTAAGAAGTGTTAAAATGGGAGAATCCTTTAACTTCTCAGTACCCCTAGGCAATTCTCTGAAACTATTAAAGAAGACACAACACTGCTTCTCCACAATCACAGATGGATGTTCCACAATGGAAATTTCCCCACACACTGCTGAACTCACAGGTTTGGCCATTCAAAAAAAAAAATTCCCTGTTAGCTAAAATTCTCACAAATAGCTGAAATGTAAAACATTTGAAAATAATAGTTTCAAAAGAAATATTACACAGGAGAATGTCTATATAATACTTGCATGGGGTGAAGAGAAGTTTGACATTTGCCTTGTAGGTTAATTTGTATTTTGTCAAGTTTTTACATAACACAATTGCTATATTGCAGGAGGCACAATCAATCAATCAACAAGTATTTATTAAATGTCCACTATGTACCAAGCACTGGGACTACAAAGACAAAACATCCCCTGCCCTCAGGGAGCTTACATTCTATCAGGGGAAACATACACACATATAAGTAAATACAAAATATACAAATAGTAAATATAAAGCAAATGGAAGTGGCAAGAGGAGAGGGGAAGGATACTGGGAGAATCAGTAAAGGCCTCATGTAGGAAGTGGCACTTGAATTAAGGAAGTTAAGGATTCAGAGGCAAAGATGGGAAGAGAATGCATTCCAGGAATGAGGATGCAAAGCTATGGAGAAATGAAATGCTTTGTCCAGTATGGGGAGCAGCAAGGTTAGTTTGGCAGGACCAGAGTGTGTAAAGGTGAATAATGTTGTAATAAGGATGGAAAAGTAGACTGGAGATAGATTAATGGGCTTTACGTGCCAAAGAAGAACAAGAGTTTGTATTTTATCCTAGAGGAAATAGGAAGTCGCTGGCGATATACGAGCAGGGGAATGATATGTTCAGACCTGTGCTTTAGGATATCACTTTGGCAGCTGGGTAGAGGATGTCTGGAAGAGGGGAGAGTTCTGATGAGGGGAGATTAATTAGGAGGCTACTGAAATATAATCTGACACTCAATCGCTTCTCTCAGAGATTGACAAGATGCCTTAACCCACCAAGTTCTACCGTACCATAAGTATATAGAAATAACAGGAAACTTCAGTATTTAACAAGAATGAAAATAAATTTTACTTCCACTACACTTACTGTACATACATGTTTTCACTTTTGGCACATCCATGGAGAATCCATATATCTGGATCAGAAAAAAGTACTCAAATTATTTTAACATCAATCTTTGAAAGTCAGCCTTAGTTACATGAAAAAAATTTATCACTAAGAAAAATCACAACTATACATGTACAGTACTAAGGTAAAAAAAAAAAAAGTAGGTTAATATTGCCATGACAAAAAAAGATATTACCAAGACAAAGTAAAAAGAGTAATGATATCTAGAACACATTCAATGTCTTTCATAAATTGTGTATTTCCAGCAAATGCTGTTTCTTATTGGTTACATAATCATACTGATGATAAAAATATTTGATGTTTGTATTAAATATAGATACCACAGCTAATTTAGTATTCATTTCCAAAGTATGTGAACCAGTAATTCAAATAGGTAAAATTTATTCTCAAATGGAAATAAATTAAAATATATTAAAAACATTACATGGGCACAATTACTTTTTATTCCAGTGAAAGAAGTGTTTATATATTTTTATCTATATATGTGTGTGTGTCAACATATAAAACACAAACACACATGTAGGGGTGTGTATATATATTACATATACAAATGTGTGTTTATAAAAATCAACTTTAATATAACCCTGCGTATTCCTTTGGTGGCACAAGTAGGCTGCAGCATATTCACAATGATGATCTGTGCCCAAGAACTAGTATAAAAGATATTAATAAGGATTAGAAAAGGAGGTTGGCAAAATGTAGCAAGAATGAGAAAGGAGAGATGGACAGAATGCACAAGTGCTGCAATGTTATCCATGAATAATAATTTTTAAAAAAGATGATGATACCTGGTATGTTAAGTTGATCCTTTACGAAAGATTGATATAAAGATAAAGCCAATCATAACGGATGAAAAAGTATGAATGAGTTGCCCTTTGGACAAGTGGAGAGAATATTCATATTGAAATAAATGATATGCTGAATAATTTCTCTGGAGGTAACAAATTTTTTATACACAAGGAATATTATTTCATAATTTCAACCAGATAGCTGACTTATTGTTTGGTTTAGAAAAAGTTGTATAATTTGTAAAGGTAACCAATGTATTTATCCTTCTTGGGAAAAGATTCATCACACTTGCTTTCATCTACAGGACAAATAGTTCTTAAAAGTGATTCTAAAATGAACCAAGAATGGCAAGGTCCCACATTTATTTTCTTCTAATGGTCACCAAGATAAGAGTACAAGTAAAATATGATTGCTGTTCCTGTGTGAAGCACTAACAATGCAAATTCAATGAAAAACCTGAAAAAACCATTGAGTTCTTTCTGCCCCTTTAGCCAAGAATCAGTTAACAATATTAACCAAGAACCTATATTCATAACACTTCATAAAGCACCAAATAGGCTGGCTATGAAAATCAGCTAGTTATTTTGGTAAGGGTATTTAAGGCAGAATAGAACTCCATCAACCATTCCATTAACTCCAACAACTTTTAAGAATAGATATTACAAAAACATTAATATGCCAGTACATCAAAAAATCAGATAAACATAGGAAGGAGAGAATACGGAATTACAAAGGAGTATTTCTGCAGAACTCAAGATAATGGATTATAATATCCAAGTCTCCAAAGCAAGTGTGTATTACTATTAATCATAGTCTATTTTGACTTTTGTGATGATGTCAAGGTTTGCCCTTTCACCACTACTTCTCCCATGCACAGAAGTCAAGTGCTTTTTGAGGGCAGATTTGTGCTTGAAGTCCATGTCACAACAGTGGCATTTATAGGGCCGGTCTCCACTGTGAATGTTCAAGTGGTCCTGAAGAGTGCTCTTGGCAGTAAATGTCTTTAAACACACAGAACACTGAAATGGTCGTATGCCCATGTGTCCTCGGATGTGCCGGTTAAGATTTTTCTTCTGGGTAAATGTTTTTCCACATTGCAAACACAAGAACAGCTTGTGCATTTTGAGATGGCGTAGATAGTTTTCAAGATGAAGAAATCCTCGTGGACACTTGGGGCACTGGTGTCGCCAGGAATAACCCTCTTCTAGACTTTGAAGCCCATTTGTTACACCAACACTGCCTTCTGTACTTTCACCAATAAACCCTTGGAAGTGATTCCCAGGAACTTCTGTCATCCTACTTTCCACTGTAGAATTAATCAGTGAATGCTGTGTTTCTGGAAAATATATATTTGTTTTAGAAGAGGTACAAGGCTGTGAAAACTGCTCACTTTCTACAGTGGGCACATTGATGGAATCCATTCGGAAGATGCAAATTTCATCATCTTTATATCCTATTTCAACTGTTGAAATCTCTGATGTTTTCATATCTTTTTTGTCCAATATTAAGCCCTGTATAGTAGGCTGCAAAGCATTGTCTTTTTCTTGCTTAACTTGCATGTCCAAGTTCACAGGGCTGTCTTCAGAAATCTCAATTATTTCACAGTCTCTCTCTAAATTTTCATCTTCATCCTTTAGTTCTGGATAAGAGGAATGACATGTCTCAGCACCCTCACTATTGTTCTTCATAGAAGAATCTATTTCCAAATACTTGGACAAAGCTTCTGTGCACTTCTCCACAATATGTACCATTTGAAGGTAACTTGCAGCAGTCAAATATTTCAAAAGCTCTTTCCTTTTAACCTCCAGTGCACCAGTATAACAAGAGAGCAATAACTTTCTGCCAATCTCTGCGCTCTGCAAGATGGTAATTCTGACCTGCTTTGACTGGTTGAGTAAAAATTGATCTCTCATGAAAGTAGAGCAAGCAGCAAAAATCACCTTGTGTCCCTGGAATTCTGTATCATTGATATAGATGGATACATCGCAAAATAAATTCTGCTGTCTCAAGAGATTCATTTTCTGTAGGACCGCATCACCTTGCTGCTCAAACTGGAAGTGCAGGACATCAGATTCAGCAGCCATGGTCACACTTATTAAGAAAAACAAAACATAAATGTTATAGGGGGAGATGTAGTTCCAACTTAAAGACTGCTTTAAATTACTACAGTTTAAAAAGAATCATTTGGGTTAGAAGTCAGGTCTAGATGTTGGCAGATATTTTGGTACTACCTTGCTATGTGATCTTGGATGAGTTGTAGAATCATAAATTTTTAGAAATGAGGGGGAGGGAGGACCTTTGGGAGGTCATTTAGTCCAATTTCTACCTGAAGCCCAAAACACAACATTCATGAAAGGCAGGCACTCTAAATCACCTGCCTGAAAAGTGATCAGCCAGCTTTCTCTTGAACACTTCCAGCAAATAGCTTACTACCTCACAATACAACCTATTCTATGGTTAGACAATCGTTAAGTTCCTCCTCATATTATGCCAAAATTAAACCAAAACCTACCTCCCTAAAAATTACACTCACAAGCCTTGCTTTCCATTTTGTTCTTTGGAGTCTAGTGGAAATCTAAGCCCTCTTCTATGATATGTGACTAATATTTGAAAAGAGTTATTCATGTCCCCTACCCCAAGTTGGCTCTTCTCCGAGTAAAATATCTCTCCTACCTAAGATGTTTCACCTTTCCTGTCTTCAGTTTATTCACCAGTAAGAAGAAAAGGTTGGACTAAATGAAATGTAAGGTGCTGTTGGTACAACGCAAACCCCAAATTCATTCAAAAAAGGATGTGAAGTTGACACCCAGACAACTTCCCTAAAAAAGTCTAAACTAAATGATTCTTTGGAACTCTAAAGTTCGGTGGCCCAATCTAGTTAGAGAAGCAGACTGACACAGTGGAAGGAGCCCTGGGCTGAAAGTTAAGAGACCTGAAGAGAAATACGATTCTCTCCCTCATTTGCTCAATCACCAACAAATCTTCGTGAACTCTCTGGGTCTGTTTCCTCATCTATCAAATAAAAGAGTTGGAACAGATCGTCTGTAAAGTCCTTATGAATAACCTTAATGGAGACTATAATCCCTGCCAGCCTCATAAGGCTGTGGTGAAAGAAGCTGTTGTCATCCTATGGGCTCTTCCCCCTTGCCAAGGTGTCCATCCCCAGGGTCCCTCCCTCCCTCTCCGGCCCTTCCTCTCCAAACCCCGGCAGTGGGAAACTGGGAAAAGCCTCGAGTCCAGACCCCGACCTCTGCCCACCGTCAGTCCTGAGCTGACCCGAGCTTCCCACCGTCCACACTCACGCGCTGCGGCCGCGCACCAACGGGAAACTGCACCCTCCAAGGTGAGGCCCCCTCGGGCAACAGCAGAGAAGACTGCAGCGGCTGCCCACTCCGGAAGTTTGGCCCAATCTGGGACAAAACCCTTCCGGGGTAAGCCGACTTCACCCTCCGCTGGCCGCTCCACCCAATTCAGCATCGGCTGCAACGGCAGGACAGAGAGGTGAGCGGCGAACCGGAAGCACATCCCTACGGCCATCCTTCCCACCCCAAAGACTGACCTGCACGCAACTGTTTGGCCCCTACCTACTTCCGGCGAGCCCCCGGTAGTGGTTGCTAAAGGTCGTTTTTATCTCGCCTTACTTTCTCGTCTCCTTCACAATTTAGGGAATGCTACTCGAGGTAGCTGGTGAGCTGCAGGAAGAGCGCTCTTTACTGCGCCCAGTCATAAGCAGAGAGAGCTTAGTTGCTCGCATAAATTGCCAGTAGTTCTTAGTCCGGACATCTGAGTTTCAGATGAGCCTCTTCACAGAATTTCAGTTTCCTTATCTGAAAAATTTGGAGGGAACTAGTCCACGACCCTTAGAGATGAAGAAAATAAGGCCCCAAAAGAGTATCTCATATGTGTCCTGCTGTGTCCTAAGGCTCCTTCCAGTTATAACATTCCAGATTCCAACATTCATTGTGAAGCACTAGACCTAATAGCAACATTTTTCTTGGGAGTCAGAAATCTCCCCTAGATAAAAGACAAATGTTGGAGGGGCTGCGGGAAAGCAGATACATTATTGCACTGTTTGGTGACATTGCGAATTAGTCCAACCATTCTGAATTATGCCCCAATAGTTACCATACTGTAAACCCTTTGACCCGGTGATAACCACTACTAACCATATACTCCAAAGAGATCAAATGAGGATGAAAAGGTATACGTACAAAATAATTCATAGCTGCTCTTACTGTAGTTGCAAAAAACTATAAGGGAATGCCCATCAACTGGGGAAAGGCTGAACAAATTTGGGTAATGAAATACTACTGTGGTAAAAGAAAATGACAAAAGAGATGGTTCAAAAAAGATTAGTATAAATTAATATAGTGTGAAATAAGCAGAACCGGAACGATTTACAAAGTAACAAAAACTTATGAAGTCAAACAATTTTGAAAGACTAAAGAACTCTGATCAATGCAATGACCAACCACAATTCCAGGAGACCAATGATAATATGTGCTACCTACATTCTGACAGAAAGGAATGGATTCCAGGTTTTGAAATAGTTATATACATGTATATGCATACGCATGCACACGTGTATACATACACACATATATTTGGATAAGCTATTGGAATTTGTTTTGCTTCATGCATGTTTGTTACAAGCATTTTTTTTTTCAATTAGGGGAAGCACAGTTAGAAAATAGCTGTTAATAAAAGTATATGGAAAGGCAGATACATAGATAGATGGAAGAAATAAATTAGAAATCCTCAGTTGCAGTCCTAGCTGTATCCTCAGTTGCAGTCCTAGCTGTAACATTGACTAGCTGTGTGAACTTGAGTAGATCACTTCATCAGAATGAACTAGATTCCTCATAAAGTCCAAGAATATTATCAGGCCTCTCCCACAAGAGCTAAAGTCAATTTCAAAATTAGCATAACAATACAGACAGAACAAAAACGTAAATGAAAAATGCTTATTGGCAAAATTATGACATGCAGTTAGTTGGATACACAGATGCTACATGCAAATGAATGACCTGGGATCACAGCTAAACAGGAAAAGAATAGGTTGTATTTCATTCTGAAAGTGTGCAGGACTTTCAACAGTTCCAAGCTGATCTCTAACACAAAAACTCATCTCTTAAATACCAATATCAGGGATGGGGAGGAACCTTGAGGCCACAGGTTCCCCACCCCTGACCAATATTTTCCTAGTGATGCTAGGTAGCTATGAATCATGTAACAACCCAACTGCAAAACAACAACAACAACAACAAAATAGCTAAAATTGTAGGAGGCTCCAAAGACAAAAAAAAAAGTGCAAGCAGAATGCAGTACATTACCAACAATGACTGGAAAAAGAAGTGGCATGAAAGGTTTCTTCTAGGGCATTTTTAACTGGAAAAGGTGAGCCAGTCAGTGATATAGCAACAGTAAAAAGATAATAAATGAACACACAGTGCTACTCTGGTAGCTACATCTCCCACCAATATCCAACTGTACTATATAGATCTAGGATAATGAAGTACCCCAAGAGTAGTATGCAGAATAAAAACACAGCTCAGTAGGATCAAAAATCAAGACTAAAGGGAGATCAAGTCAAGAAAAACAAGATTATAAAACAGGAGATGGGGAGAAATTCCAGAGACATGCAGCCCCAAGTCACAAAGATCCTATTTTGATCATTGTGACCCCTCCCCAACCCAGTAGCACACAGCTTTTGAGAGTCAAAAAAATCATTTCAAGGATGACGTAGCTTTTCCTCTGATCTAGCAAGTCTCTCAGCTACTATGGACTACTATTATCAGGACCTACGACAAGCCTCTTATAAGGGATGCTCCAATAGACATGGGTGGTTGAGGGAAGGGGAGCAGTCACAATGTTTTATTTACTAAATGCAAAAGTACCACTGGGTCTAAGATGATTCTTAGTAAAGATATAGTTAGACACTGTTCACTGGGAAGCAAATCTGGAACCTAAAGTCCTTTAACTGTAATCCACTAAAACATTACAAGATCTAAAGCAGAGATTTTCAGTCTTTTTTTTTTTTTTTTTTTTTTTTTGCTGTCATGGACCCCTCTGGAAGTTTGGTAAAGTCTATAAATCCCTTCTCGGAATGTCTTTAAAAACCACAATACATATGTCTACAAATAAAGTCAATTATATTTAAAGTTTTCAAAATACATATTTTTTAAAGTTTGTGGACCCTAGGTTTGGAAAGGAAGACCTCCATGAGTTAGATAAGATTGTACGGAAGGGAATATCCACACCATCTACAATTCACAGCTGTATCAAAGTGAGAGTTTACTATTATGGTATATCAAGATCTTTTTTTTGTCCCAATCTTATCAAGTTTACTAAATATCCCAACTTTTGCATTATTCACAGATTTAATGCCTACCCATTTTACCTTGATCCAAGACAAAAATAAGAATAAATACAAAGAGATCAAGATCTTACCTGTTCCACTAGGGACGTTTATCCAAAACATCATTGGACCTATTAAGCACCAATTGGGGAGGTGGGGCCAGGGGGAAGGGGGGGATTCAAACAGTTCCAAACCCACCTAATTATACAATCATCCAACCCTGTTCCCTAGACAACCACAATCCCAATGATTGATTTCTCCCCCACGTCATTAGCCCTTTGCAGGTACTTAATAATATCACTTCTCCTCTCCAGGCCTGCAGCTTCCCCACCTGAGTAAAGTGGTCTAGATCAGTGATGTCAAACTCAAAATAGAAACAGGGATCACTAATACTTGCATAAGAATCTCTGACAATAGTAAATTGATTTAGTTTTAAAATGTAGTATAACCTATATATTCACCGTATTTTTGTTAAATATTTTCAAATTACATTTTAGTCTGGTTTAGCTGCAGGCCACATGAAAGGGTTGCATGTTAGACACCCCTGATTTAGATGATCTCTAAGGTCCCTCATATTTCTAAACCCAATGATTTATGAATATGTCTTTTGGTTGTAAGTCACTATTAGATTGTAAGTTCCTCAAGAGGGAGTTGTGTTCTTTTTCAGCCTTTGGAGCTCTCATCAAGGACAGACAATTGGACATATCAGGTGCTTAATGTATATTATTTCCTATCACTTCACCAATCTGGTCATTAACACCTTCAGATCAGTAACTTTAATTCATAATTACTTCCCCTCTTTGGCTGTGCCTCCATTAATCCTAACTAATTGGAGGGAACTTTATGTTCTCAAAAATTATGCCAACAAATTACAAACTTTGGCTGGCCCACCAAGCAGAAAGGCTATGAGTGTCTACATCTGAAAAACAAACTGAAGAGGTCGACACCAAAGAATTAGCCATCAGATAAGAGATTCAATTTTCAAAAAGTTACCAAGATTATCTACAAAGGAGTATTGGAGGGAGAATACTACCTATTCCAATGCAATCCTAGACCTTTTAAATTATTTCCTAAGTGTTAGTTGTGAACTTAGACTTTAATTCTTAATTAGCTCCCCTATTTAGCTGTGAATGAGAGCCCTAGCTCTCATAATCTGGAATCAACTTCTAAAATACAGGAGTTCTACAATTTTGAAATCATTTGGACTAGTAACTTGCTAACTTTTCTAGCAAATAAGTATTTTAGACTTTTGTCCCAAAAGTGACACCATCCTATACATAAAGAATGTAAGACTTACCTCCACTGGCATTCGAGGATTTCAGAAGAAAATGGGAGAATGAAGCAAGCGACTGACACCAGGGTTTTAGTTGTCACACTTTTATTAAGGAAACTTCCTCATAATAGGTGAAGAGGTAGTTCATAGTCAGTATGTGTAACATACAACAAGTTTAGGACAGCTGTTCATTAGCTGAAAGTAGACAATGGAAGAAGGTACTTCGCTATGTATTTGACAGTAGTGAAAAGGTGAAACTAGTCTCAGAGGAATGCCCTATTTATACAGCTTCTAATGAAAAATTTTTTAAGGAATGAAACCCATATCTGATTTACCTTTCCAGATATTAGTCACTTCAACTACGTGCTTGAGGTTTAAATTTTTTTAATTTTAAACTGTAGTGCTAAACTTAACAGGATTCCTTCTTCCTTTTTGTGCTTTATAGCGTTACAACATCAAAGATCTGTAAAATTCTAATGCTGAGTGAATAAAAAATGTTAAAGTCTTTCTACCACAAGAATTCCAAATAGTTTTCTATGTCATTCAGTAGTCTGGTCAAATTTCAATACAAACTAGGAAACCTACATACTTGAAAAAATCAAGTTCTAGCTAAAATAGCAAATTTAATATAGCTTCATTAAACTTAAGAAAATCTCACAGAAATGAAAGGGGCTTCCTCTCCAGCTAAAAATTAGAGGAGAGTTCAGTCCCTTTAGTGATTTTTTTTGCAAAGAAGTGTGAACTAAAGGTTTTCCTAGGAGGAAATAACGATGGTAAATAAAGCCAAAGTGTCAGACATTTATATTTAAGTGCTCTTAATAATCCAAGGTAGTTTTCTTCATCATTTCTTGTTGTTAAGACAGAGACCACATGAGGCAACTGTGGTATAATAGAGAAAAAACTGGCCTAGGTAGGAGTCAAGATGTGGATTTTAGTACCTGTCACTGAGTCCACCACTAAGAAACTTGGAGACCCTGGGAAGTCCCAGTTCTGCCATTAATCAGTCAAATGACATTGACAAGTTACCTTCCTAGGCCTCTGTTTACTCCTCTGAAAAATGAAGGGGCTGGACTGGCCCTAATATGTTATGTTTTCTGATAAAAACCCAGAAAGTCTAGTCCTTAGTAAAAGCGCTACATCTAAAGTTGAACTCTTGCCTATTCAGTCAACTCAATAAGAAAAAGACATCACAAGAATGACAGCACAGCTTTCAGTTAATGAACTAAGTCTCCTGGCTATGCCATGTAATTTTCCTATAATTAAATAATGCTCAAAGTAACATAAAACAAAATGGTTTAAATATCCTGTTGTAACTTCTCATTGTTGCATAGCATTGGTACCTTCAGTTAGACTTTGTAAATTATATTGTCAGGGAGCAGCTACATCACAATCTACTTATTAACCAGGTTTAAGTGCTTACTGGCTCTACCCTTCAACACATTTTGCATTTAAATTGTTTACCAAATAGCATGGGAAAGTATTTTTAAATGATATTGATTAATTTAATGTTTCCAATTAGATTCACAAAAGACAGCATCCAACATACCAACCACAGGAATTCCCTCAAACCAGCTAAGTTTCTTTACATGCACTCAAAAAGATAAAATATTTTTAAAAATTTGATGGAAATTGACACAATCTGCTTTGGAAACAGTGCTTGGGTTTATTCCCCATTTGACTCCCTCCCACCCCATAGTCTTACTACTTGCCAAAAGGGAGGAGCAAAACAGCAAACAAGCCCATTGCTTGTTTGAGCAATTCATCTCACTACTTTGTAAGAACAGAATATTGTTCAAACCACATCTTTTCAACCAGAAAAGAACTTCTAAATGAGAATGAATCCCTATGTGATGGTTAGCTAGTAAACACTGGACTGTTTCCTGGCCTAAAACCCAGCAGTGATTTAAAGAGGAAACATAAAACCTCCAGTTAGCATGTCATGCTTTATCTTTAATATCGAATAGTTTAGTTATTAATAAAGCCTTGAGGAACATATGGAGTAAAAGCTCTGTTCTAAATGACAATGGTAAGTTATTTCCCACCCTGTAAATCAGTTTCCTCATCTACAAGGAATTGAACTAGTTTATCTCTAAGGTCTCTTTCAGCTCTAACATTCTATGATTCTATGACTACCTAAATCTAATTCAGATGTTATATAACAGCTAAGACTCCAAAATATTATTCAAGAGGCAAAGGGAAAAAAATCTGTACAGATAGATTGACTTGGTGCTAGTGGATCTGTTGCAGGTATGGAGATAAGATTGGACACCTTGAAGAGAAAAACCTGATTACAATATGTGCCTCTTGTGATTCATTAAGAATTTTTTTCAGTCATTTTAGGTAAGGAAGTACATTATGACTACAGAAAAGTGCACGTACAATTTATGGAGATTTCAGTGTCTGTTCTACAAAGTATTGGACAGTGTACTTTTCTTATCAAATTCACTATGAATTTGGCTCACCTGACATAAAGTAAATCAACTACCAAGTAGCCTTTATATTTTCATTATTTTTCCAAAAGATCATTACTCTCCAATACATTGATTAAGTAGGCCATTTATTGTCCTGGCTTTAAGAAAATCAACAGACAACACCATTGTTAGATGCAACTGGCCTGTAATATTCTAATTGAAAAACCAAAGGCTTCCACTCTGTTACACAGTGATTTCAACTGCTGTATTTTATATGTGATTATAATGGTATTAATGGTGATCTCTACTTGTGCAGGCAGATGTGGCTGAAAAAAACCAATGTGTATTACCTGATCCATGTGAATAAGTTAGAGAACAGAAATCAAGTATTAATACTGTTTAAAAGTATATAAAATGAACTAAATATACTTCATGTAAACAACTTCAAGATGAACTCAAATGGAGTTTGTGGAGGAAAAAAGATGTTTAACAAAAACAAATGAATTTAACCACTGAGCAGCCAGTGGTTCATTCTATCAGAGGTCAAGGGTAAAACATTAAAATCAGTTTTGTTTTGTTTTTAAATCTCAGCCACTTTTGTTTAAAATCTACAGTGTTTTTCATTTCTCCTAACACAGCATCTATTGATGGAAAGTAGTTGAGGTTAATTTGTTATTACCATGCCCCACAAAAAACCCAGAAATGGGACCAGCCAAAACAGGAGTTAATGTGATCAACCTGCAGTGTAGTAATTCTCAAGAAAGAAAAACATATACTTATGGGAAGAAAATTCATCACCAAAAATAGGGCTAAAAGGTAGTAAAAACACCTTGAAGCAGCAACTTACCAGGTGCTTTCATTGAGCCCCAACCATATACACCACTCAAATTAACCAAAATGCTCCCCACTCCCCCCCCCCCAAGATACAGACTTAACTGTTCTTCATGCTCTCTTGGTCAACCATTAGTTATGTGTATAACTCTACTTAATTAACACAGGTACCATCACTCCTTATAGTCAGTACAGCCTGGGCCAGTTTACCTGCATCTAATACCTGGGATGCATCAGGTGGCTGCTGGCACCCTTTAGTTTCTGTGACTGTGGTACAAGCAAAAGAATCAAAATCCACTGTGAGGTCTTGCACATTTCTTTCATTAGCATTATCAAAGCTGTTTTTACCATGCAGCTGCTTCAGGTGTTTCCTCAAAACTGGTTTATGTGCAAAAACCATGTCACAATAGTTACATTTATGGGGCTTATCTCCACTATGAAGGTTAAGGTGATCCTGTAAGGAGCACTTCTGAGAGAAGGTTTTCCCACAGATTTTACACTGGAAAGGTTTGATGCCTGCGTGTACTCGCATATGTCGGTGGAGGTTGCCTTTCTGAGTGAAAGTCTTTCCGCAGAGTAAACACATAAAGAGTTTATGCATTTTTAAGTGGTTGGCATAGTTCTCTAGATGACGGAACACCCTGGTACACTTTGGGCACTGGTGATGCCACTGAAGGCCTTTGTCTACACCACGATTATTAGGACCAAATAAGTCTTTAGAGGCCATAATGATGTTATCACTACCTGCATAAGAAAGGGCATAATTGTGGAGATGGTTTTGTTCAATTTCATTTACTCTGTTTTCCACAGTTGAATTAATTAAGGAGTGCTGGGGTTCTGAGGAATGTAAAGCAGTTGGTTCAGAAGAAATAAATTGATTTTGATCTTTTTTATTCCTAACTTCTGAAACCTCTCCAATTGATTCTACTTTAACAATCTGAATGTCACTGTCCTCCATGTCCATACTATCCTCAGAGGGCTGAATACAGGGGGAGTCCTGCTCCTGTGAGTCTCTGTCATCTACCTGCTGTTCTTTTGACTCTGAAGAATCACTCTGCTGTTCACATTCCTCTTTGCCCTCCAAGGGCTGCTTGGGTTTTATAAACTTCCAAAGGGCCTGTGTGCATCGTTCTACAATGTGGCTCATCTGAAGAAAGCTTGCGGCTGTCAAATAATTTACCAGTTCCATCTCAGGAAATTCCAGAATGCCACTATAACAGGATAGCAGCAATTGTCTCCCCACTTCTGAACTCTGCAATATGGAAATCTTTATTTCTCTGGAATCATTCAGTAAAAACTGGTCTCTTAGGAAGGGTGAGCCTGCAGCAAACACAATTTTATGTCCCTGAACCTCAATATCATCTATGTGAACTGCGACGTCACAAAACTTATTTTCTTCTCTTAACTTGTTCATTTTTTGTAACATTGAATCTCCATAATTTTCAAACTTGAAGCGAAGGAGATCTGATCCTTCAGACATTGTGGCAGACCTAAAGGGCGGAAATGTAGAGATGTTGAGATAGGAAAAAAAAAAAAGTCAAAGATGTAAGAAACCTGGGCTTCATTTGCCAAAAAAAATTTATTTTTACCTCTTTGCTTTTAAGGAAATGTTCCTGGAAAGAAGACAGATATCTAAGGCAATTGAAAAATTATCCTTCATAAACAGTGTAAAATGTACTTTGGAGTGAATAAACCAATAGCTCAACACTTCTCTTTGGTCAACACTTAATACATAAGAATTGCAAATCATTTGTCAATCCAGATACATTTTTTCTATCTTCAAATAAAAATTCAATCAGGTTTTAATAACAAACTGGAATGAACCCAAACAAGCTGGGATGAATTGTCTACTGAGTTAGATTTTACTTAGAACTAAGAACTACAGCTCAAGGTTATAATGTTCTCCTCAAGGTATGCCAAAAACTTCCAAAGATGATTGCTTCTCATAAGAACAAAAAGAAAAATCTCATTGATTTACCTCCTAAAATATTGCAAACAATTTGATTGCCCCATCCCTGGACAGATGACAAGATGTCAAGAATGTAAAAGGACAGAAACATTAAAAAAACAAAAAAGTAAAAAATAAATTAAATGGTTTCTAGGAAAGTGATAATTCCAGTTACAGAGAAATGGGGGGGGGGGGGCAGTGTAGGAAAGGTAAAAGACAGAACCTACATACTAGGTTTTCCAAAAGTTTCAGTGGAGTTTAAAGCTTTTAATATCAATTCTCTGTTGTGCAGAAAGAATAGCAAGGTTTGGCTCATTAAGAGCTAGCTTTTAAAAACTTAAAACTCCACTGAATTTTCTGAAATACCATGTATATAACATATAAATATATATATATATAAATTTAAAGAGACTATATAAAAGTGTATACAATACCTTGCAAACAATCTAAGTAATAAATACTCAGTTCAGATATCAAAGGGTGTTAGATGGTATGGAAAAGAAAATACAGTATTTGTGCAAAGAGAACCCTTTACAAAATCTCAATTCTAACAAGACAGTTGGTGACAGTTTATAGAGGAAAAAAAATCCCCAAAATAAGAAAGATGAGAAATCATTTCTGTCATGTACTTTTAATTTTTAAATATTTCATTTATTTAATGTCTATTCTGGAAACATTTTAGCACCAATTCTAATTTAGCATCAAAAGTTATAAAGCAACAGTAATTTTCAATAGCAAAAACAAAGCTGGCACTCCTTTTGAGAGTTTACTTATTCCAGACTCCATTGGCTCTTACCATTGTCTAGCCCAGAACAATAATTCCCTCTGTGGAATCATTAGGGAAAGCTAATTGCTGCAAATCATTCAAATATTGCAGGTTGAACACTCTTGGGAACTAGACAGATAGATCCAATCTCCCTCTGATGGTTTAAGATGAAAAATAGGCAAGTGCTATCATTTGGTTTATATTAATTGGTTTTATGAAAATTATCTTCTTAAAAGCAATATGAATATTTTAAAGACAATCAACTTTGAAAATCTTGAGAAATCTGATCAACACAATGACCAAATACAATTTCAGAGGACTGATGATAAAACAGGCCATCCACCTCCCAATAGAGAGATGATGGACTAAAAGTGCAGATGAAGATTTTTTTAAAATATGGCCAATGAAGAAATTTTCTTTGTTTGACTATACATGTCTGCAATAAAGGATTTTGTTTTTCTTGCTTTCAATAGAGGGGGAAAGAGAAAATGATGTGTGGGGAGAAGGCAGATTGTCATTTTTTAAAAAACAACTTAATTTTAAATAAGTAAATAAATCAGTGTATGCCTTTCTTTAAAAACAAACAAAATAACCAACGTGAGTTATCTCAAATACTCCCCAAAAAGGGCAAATATGTTGACCATAGTTTTGGTGAGGCTTAAGCTCACATTTGTGTATTACACATTAAGTTTCCCCAAGCCTATTCTAGCAAATAATGACTTTTGTATTAAATCTCATTCATTCATTTTACAGGAATTTATTAAATGCCTTTTGTATGCTGAGCATTGAGCTAGAAATTGGAAATATAAAGATAAAAGTAAAACTGTACCTACCCTCAAAGAGCTTATGTCCGATGTGAGGAGAATGAGCCTTGGGACAACATACATAGACAAATACAAAACAGATACAAAGTAACTTCGAGGGGAAGGGTTCTTACAAATGGACTTCTAGCAGAAGGTGATACTTGAACTGATCTCTGAAGGAAGCTAAGACCTCTAAGGAACCGAGGTGAATTGGTCTTGCAGTCCAGGTATAAGGACAATCTATGCAAAGGCACAGAGACAGGAGATTCAATGTTGTGTCTGGAGAATTGCAAATAGGTCAGACAGGCTGTAATATTGAGTGAATGTGGGAGAGTAACAGGCAACAAGCCTAGAAAAGTGGACTGCTGCCAGATTGTAAAGGGTTTTATAAGCCAAATAAAAAAGTTCTTAGAGGCAAGGTGGTACCAACTGCTGCTTCCTGAGCTGAGAACTGAAACTGCCAGACCTGTGTTTTAGCAATATCACATTGGTTTCTCTTAGAGAACAGATTAGAAAAGGGGGAGACTGGAGTCTGTGAGACCAATTGGGAATGTACTGCAAAATCCAGGCAAGAAGTAATGCAGAAGTATGATGGTGGCTGGGTGAGTAGAGGGAAGGGGACAAATGCAAGAGTTATTGTAGAAGTAGCACTAACTGCAAATTTGTGAATGTGCACTTAATAAGTTCTTAAAAGTTGACTGGAAGGGATACCAACACCTCCAGGCAACTGGAAGGATGGGGGTATCCTCAAAAGAAATAGGAAAATGAGAAAGACGGAAACTTGAAGGGGTAGATATTCGGGAAGGGGAGTGGTGTCAAATAATGATTTCTATTTAAGACAAATTCAGTTTGTTCTGACTAAGCGACACCCAGTTGGAGATATCAAACAGGCAATTGGTGGTATAGGGCTGGACTTAAAGAGAAAAATTAAAGATAAGTACATAGATTTGGGAATTTTCTATGGAGGCACTAGTTGATGAGATCACTAAAAGGAAGTATACAGAAGAAGGCCCAGGCTAAAGCCCTGGGGTATATAATCATGAAAAGGGATGATGTGTAGTCATCATCGGTCAACAAAGGAGGCTCAGAAGAAACAACCAGATGGGTAGGAAGAAATCCAAGAGAGACCTGTGCCATTAAGACCTAGGGAGGAAAGCAGGGTCAATAGTGTCAAATGCTACAATAGTTGAGAGGGATGAGGACTGAGAAAAAGCTCTCAGATTTTATGATTAAGAAATCATTGGGGAATTAGATTCAAACTAACATCTCATACCATATATCATTATGAGTTTCAAATGAAAATATGACAAATACAAAAAGCCACAAACAAATTAGAGATGTAAAGAAGATACCTTTCACAAATATAGATGAAAAAGATTTCCTGACAAAACAAAGGACAGAAGATTACAGCAGATAAATGAAAAACTTTGATTACAATAAATTTGAAAAGCTTCTGCACAAAATTAATGCCATTAAAATTATAAGGGAAATACTGAACTGGAGAAAGTTATCTTTAGAGCAAGTTACTCTGAAATCCAAGATATATAAGGAACTGATTCAAATATATAGGAACAAGAACTATTCCCTAGGAGTTAAAATGTCAAAGGATATGAAGAAACAAAGTTATCAAAGTAAGAAATCCAAGCTAACAGCCATATGAAAAGCTCCAAATCACTAATAATAAGAGAAATGGCAAATTAAAACAATACGGAGGTTCCACCTTACATCTAACAGATTGGCAAAGATGACAAAAAAGGAAAATAATTGTTTCAGGAGCTGTGGGAGGGTAAGCGCATAAATAAACTGCTGGTGGAGCCATGAACTGGTTAAGCAATTCTGGAATGCAATTGGGAATTATGCCCCCAAAGTCACTAACTCTCCATCCCTTCTGACCCAGTAATACCACTACTAGGCTTATACCCCAAAGAGATCAAAGAAAGAAGGAAACAACTACTGTACATAAATACTTATAGCAGCACTTTTTATTGTGGCAAAGAACTAGAGAAAGTGGGGGAAAGAGAGGCATCTGGGGGAGCAGGAGAGAGAATGGGAGGGTAAGTGCCTATCAATTAGGGAACAGGTAAACAAATTATGATATATGAATGTAATGGAATATCATTGTGCTATAGATATGAATTGAAGAGAAAAGACGATTAGAACAGATTCAGTGGGGAATGGGATGAACAATTAAAAGTAAAGTAATAAGGATCCAGGTCAGATTATATAACATAAAACTGGAGTGATTCCAATCAGTACAATTGTGATTTTCTTCAGAAGAATTCAGCAGCAGGGTATAGGAGCTGGAAAGGCAGGTGGTAGAAGTAGTAAAGTTGGGCTTTAGAAAGGTGGTGACTGGATAAGAGAATTTAAGCATAAACAACTGTGAACAAGTTAACTGTAAGTGTCAAAATTTTGAAGGTAAGAAAGTAAATCCAAAGCAGCAATGACTGCCTGGAAAAGCAAGGAGGGTTGTAATGTCTACAGGCTACAGTAAGGATAGAGACTGGGATTAGAAGGAGTAAGGAACAGGGAGAGATTTTAGGACAACTGGTTAGATAAAAGAATTTGAAAGTTCTGGATTGTGAAGATGGTAGCACCTGTGTTAAGATCAAAGGTATGATCAGTCCTATGTGTGGCTAGGGGTAGAGTGAAGGTGCAACTTATGAGAGCTGAGGAAGTTGATGAACTACAAAGTAAGGAACGATATTTGAGGGAATATTCATACTTTGTTGTTCCTATCTTATTATATGTCTGCCATGTCTTTTTAACTAGAGGCCAAGAATGATGTCCCACACTTTCTAGCACTGGACCGAGTGCAGTAAATAATCAAGAAATACTTGTTTATCATTCAGTTCATTTCCATAATTATATACATCTAATATTTTAAAGGCCTCCAATGGCTCATTGTGGTGTGCAACTAACACTAAATTTTCAAAGGCAATACAGCCCAAACTCTGGCAGGTCTCAATGACTGTTTATCTGTTGCCCAAGAATCATTTTAGAAAAGTTCAGAAAAAGCTCATTTCTTGCTAGTCAGCCATACCAACTCATGAAGACTATCTTATGAAAGGTTATAATCCATCAGTACAATAAGTACTTGAGATACTATGATATAGTGGGAATGATATAACATTTGAAGTTAGATGACCTGGCTTTAGAATTGGAAGGAACCTTAAAGATAATCAACTCCAACCTATCCCATGGCCAGTTTTGTGTGTTGGAAGGGGAGTTGGGGGTGGGTGGGAGTAGAAAGGAGATGAGGTCAAGGATGGGTAAGTGTCTTGTTCAAGGTGACACACTCAGTGATCAAGTTGGGATCAGAACCCAAGTCTGACTCCTAGTTCAAGACTCTTTTTCTTCAGACCATTTTACTTCACAGAAGAAAGAAGTTCTTAGAACATAACTGCCTCATTGTTTACTGTGAAAAACAGAATGCTGGCCTGCAGTCATACAAAACATATACTCAAAGAAGGATAAAAGCCCAGGAAAAAAGCTGAAAAGGCTTCTCTACCATATGGTAGACTGACATTCTGCACATAACAACAGGATCTATTTAAAGTCCAGCAATTGTCCAATTCCCAACATGCTGTAATAATAATGTCCAAAGGCCAGAACCTTATAGGATTACCTACCTAACTGGCCAGTTAAAGCAACAGATGGTTTGACAGAAGACGATGAAATTTTAATAAACACTGTACCAAACTAGTTTCCTGGAAAAGGGAAACATTATTTTTATAAGAAAATGTAATCTGTCTATTTCAACTGAAAGGAAAAGAGTGGGGTTGGAAGTATGGGAATCTAAATCAGTTTTTCTACTGAAGGACTCACTGGCTAAAAGACAGTAACAAAGTGGCTTAAACACCAAAACTAAGAATAGGACAGAGGTATAACTCATAAAAGAGAAACCTTGCTATGCCCCCAACTTACAGATTTTGCAGTGATATTAGAGTTAATTTCATCTGTGCCTAAAACTAATTTCCTTAACTGATTTTCCAAAATCTCTCCTGAACCAAATGTCTTCCCCATTACAATTTTTTTTTTTAAATCCAATATCCAACAATATGTGATTTGGAATCTTGGCCTTCTCTTTCTTAAGCAATACAGATGGATAAGCAAAAAGTCCAGACCAGGGGTGGGGAACCTGTGGCCTCAAGGCCACAAGGCCTAGTCTAGAGCATTGATTCCTGAAATTATTAGCAAATACCATGAGAGGAAGGTCCATTTCTTATACTACTACTGTATTCCTCACAAAGCTGAGGTCTTTAAAAAGAGTAGGCAGTTCAATACTTGCTGACTGACAAGTATTTTCCAAACAGGGAAACTGATAGAAAAAGCAACAGATTTGGAATCAATGGTGCTAGAGTTCAAATCTTGCATTGTTACTAGTTATGTCACTTTATGGCTCTATACTTCAATTTCCTCATCTGTAAAATAAAGTGTTTGAACTAAACTGAAGTCGCTTCCAATTCCAAATCCTATGATTTTAAATATTACAGTTCCCATTAGGGAATAACATACAAAACAGCATAAACACACATTTTGCTTAACAGTTTTCAAAGTACTTTCCTTCTGTAGTATTTTATTTGTTTACTAGAACAACTCTGAGATATTAATGTGCATTTTGCAGATGAGAAAAATGACTCTCAAAAAAACTAAATGATTTGTCCAAGGTCACATGAGTGTTTTTAACTCACTGGAACTAGAACCTCAGCAGTCCTTTGACTTAGTCCAACTTCACAGTATAGCTTCTTTAAAGCTTGGAATGTCTTTTCTTAGATATTATTATTACAAAAATACTCTCCACTTCAGGTAATTTTTTATCATACTCTATAATTAGATTATTCTTATATTTATTACCAACAATACTGAAAATTCTCATTTATGAAAAAAAAAGAATTATTCTAAAATAGCCCAATGAGTTTCCTAGAGCAGCATTTACTTTCTTCTATTTGGCCCATATTGTCTTCTTAGCTTAAGCTCCAGTCTTTTCCAGACCTCTTCCTTTCTCCTTCAATCCTTACACCTCTGTAGACAGTTTGAGACATTATACAACCTCTTTGTTTTACATAAAATATGAGGAAACTGAGGGCCAGGGTGATATGAAGTGCATTGCCCAAGGTCACACAATTAGTGACAGAAAGGCAGTCATGCAAACCCCACTCCTCTGCCTCCAAACCTAGCATACTCTCTATTATACCTGACTATTTATGTTCTACCTCTAATATATCTGTTATGGTTATGCTCAATGCCTTTCCACAACTGAGTCCACCTAAACAAACACTCCCTTTTATATCCCCTTCTGCTGGAAGCCTCAACTGTAACAGAACCATTTGTACATTAAGAGTTCCTCTTCTGCCTAACCATAACATGACTCACCCATACAACACACCCACTTAGAAACTTTATGAAAACTTCTAAATGTTCAATCTGAAAGTAAGAAATGGAAACAGGTGGGTCTTTGAAAGACAATTTGACTTCTTGTAACCACTGCTAAGTAATAATGTATAAATAAAGATACCCTTTTCTCACTGTAGTAACAAAGGTCCATTCTCCACCCTCAAAACTTTGGATGCTCACTGTATTTCAGAGTCAGCGTTAGAATGAGTGTAATGGACATTCAAGTATGATGCACCAATTTACAAAAACCTCAGCCAATTACAAACACAGTAAGAGGACATCAAGAATATTAATACTTAAGATTTGGCTTTTATAACTGCAGAAAAAGGGTTGTTATATATCCCAGGATGAAAATGGTGTCACCCTAACCCACCACTTCCACCGCCACCGCTGCCTCCGGCAGCCCGCAGATGCTCTTTAAACCCTGGAGCCCAAGAAGCTGGACAAGTTTCGCACTTCCAGGGGCCTATCCCTCCCTTCGGCTCGTAACCTCTCCCACTGGTTTCTAAGAGGAAATCCCAGTCTAACAGACAATCCGGACTGGCACTGCTACTTGCCACCTTCGTCACCTGCTAAAACTGAGGGCTGTGGCTTGATTTGCTCCCAGAGATGGAATGGGGAGGGCGGAGGAGAGGGGGCGGTACCTCACCGGAACTCGGGACCTGAGTCTGGAGGGGCTGGTAAAGTCTGCCGGCAGCTGCCACACGGAGAGAAAGAGCCGGCGGGCCGGAGCCCCTCCACACCTACCGGGCCAGCGCAGCTTGCCCCCACTGCTCCCTGCCCGCCGGACTCCGGGGAGTGCTATGCTGCCTTTCACCGAGAGTTAAATAGGAGGAAGTGCCTGGACCAGGAGGGGAGCCCGGGAGGTGGGACCGCGCGGGAAAGCGGCAGCCTCAGTGTTCGGCCCTTGCGGCCACCCGGAGCCGCTCCGTCCTGTTCCCTCAGCCCAGTCCCCCGCCCCAGCCTAGAAACCCACCTAGGGACCTGCAAGGGAGGGAGCGGTTGCGGTGGCCAAATAGGGACCCCCTAGGCCCCGCCCCCTCAAGGCCCCGCCCCACACCCACGCCCCCCTCGCCCAGTCCCGCACTTACCAACTTAGAGTAGCCGAGGCTGGGATCCCGCACTGCCTGGAGCTCCGGCCCCTCGGGGGCTCCGGGGGGGAAAGGGAGGGGGAGGGGACTGCGGCCAAAGGGGGGAGGGGATACGGACCGGAAGCGGAAAGGGAGCCTTTGAACTCCCGAGAATGCTTCCAGGTTTTAGTGACGGGTTCGTTCGTATCTCCAGCCAATCAGGACTTCGGGAGAGGAGTGCGGACCCGAAATGACATTTGTGCAAGCTGGGATTGAGTGGGGGGGCGGTATGCGTAGCTATTACTTTGCCCCTGCTGATGGGGGGGGGTAGAAGCTCCTCAACCCCAGGGCCTGGGGAGAAAGCAAGCCACTCTCCTCCCAGAAAGTGCTCCCCCTCTTCCTCCCCAGAAGGGCTTTAAGTCATTTCTCCCTTCTCCACTTCCAGTCTTCCTCTTCGGAGTTCCTCTTCCCTCCTCCATCCCATTCGCATTCTAAGCTTTCTTTTATCCAGTTTTCTTTTGTGCCCTAGACCAGGTGTTGTGAAAGATATACTCTGTGTCCTGTTTGTTCTTTTGCTTCCTAAAAGGCGTGTTGAGTCTGGCTGTGCTTGGCATAGCAAATCAACCCCCGCGAAACCATTGTGCATTGTGCACTTCTACTTTGAACTCCGCCCCCTTTGACCTGCCAGCCCTCCTCTATTTTCTCGTGTGTGTGTGTGTGTGTGTGTGTGTGTGTGTGTTTCTTTCTCGTAGTTTTTCCCTTTGGTTCTAATTCTTCTTTACAACATGACTAACTTGGAAATGTTTAAAAAATAAATAAATAAACTGTAGGGGCACAAAAACAAAATAGAAACAGTCCCCACTATAAGGGAACTTACATTCTACTCATATCCTGTTACAAGGGGTCCATTCCAAGTGCCCTAGTATAACAAATTACTTCTAAGAAGAGGCAATGTGGAATAGTGAAAATACTTCCTATTTCTATAGTGCTTTAGTAGTATTAGCCCCATTTTACATGAGGAAATGAGATCTCCTTGAGTTGAAGTAAACTCTTTTATAACCTGGTTCCAGCCTATCTTTCCCGACTAAAACAACTTTACAAACGTTGGTCCAGCCAAACTGGAATAAATGCTATGACTCACACAAAGCATTGCATCTCTAGCCTCTGTGCGTTAATAAATCCTTGTTGTTGACTGACCTGCTGACAGGCGGTTCCCACTGCTGGTCCCTCCCCATTTCCACCTTTTGAGACATTATACCATCTTTCAAAGCTCAGTTCAAGTGCCACCGCCTAAGCACAAGGCGTCCTCCTATCTTGATCCCAACAGTTGCTGGTGTCCCCCACCCCAGCCATTACCATGTATTTACTTACTTTGTATATATTTGTTTTTTTTTTTTTTTTGTATTTGCTTACATGAATGATGTTGTTTCCCCTATAAAATGTAAACTCCTTGAGGGAAGTAGTGTTTTGTCTTTCTATCTCCAGTACCTGGTACACAAGTGCTTATGGTGATGCAGCTAAGTGTCGAGGACTGGAACCTAGGCCATCTGACACCCAATTCCTTTCATCCCCCCTTACACCATTGTGACTGCAAAGACCTGGGTTCTAATACAAATCTACTACTTACTATCTGTGAGAACGTGGGGAAGTCAAGTAACCGAATTACCGTCTCTGGGCCTTAGTTTCCACCTCTGTAAAACAAGGGGATTGGATTCCATGAACTAGATCTAGGGTGCCTCGAAGCTATAAATCTCCCATCCTTAGTTCCCGGTTTCCCTTTAAAGTCCCGACCCAGAATGGCCCAGCTTAGCTTCCTGGATCTACCAGTTCCAGCCCCAGGTGCTGGTAAGAATGTACGCAGGCGCAGCGGCTTCGACAGTTGGGGAACCTGGACGGAATCCGGAGTGGGGAGACCCAGGACTGCGTGCCGCATCTCCTAACCAATAGGAACCGTCAGCCCGAGTGTGTGGCCAATGGGATAACACGAGAGGCTGCACGAAGGACGGAAGGAGTGCAGTTCACGTGACGCGGGAGGGGCTAGGGGCGGGGCAGGGAGGCCCTGGCTGAGGAGCCTCGGGGACAGGACGGCTGCTGCTGAGGAGGAGACGGCGGGTCGGGTCGGGTAGGGCCACGTTCCCCCCTCCAACCCACCCACCCACCCACCCACCTACCATCCTCCACAGGCGGGGAGGTAGCTCCACTCACTGTGATTCCCTGGAGCCCTGTGAGGGAGGGGAGCCTGGCAATCTACTGTGCTTCCCCCTCTTGCGAGGGCTAGGGCCCATCAGTCGCTGTCTGTTTTTAATCCCACCCCCCTATCCTGGCCGGGGCCTTGGCCCGGGGTCCCTGTAAAATGCTGGGTTAGGTGAAGGGGGGATGGGGGAACCAGGGAGAAGCATTGATGGAAAATGGGCGCATGCGCAGGAAGGAGCCCCTGAGCAAACCGGTTGCCCCTGTCTGGGTGGGGGTGTCTGCTTGTCGTCTTTACCTCTTTTCTTGGAAGGGAGACCACCCTCCTTGTTGTTCTGACCCTCTTGGCCTCGTCTCCAGCCCTTGAACCTAGAGTATTTTGGCAGAAAGATAATTCAATCTCAGAATTACAAATTGTTATGCCTGGGAGGGATGATAATCCAGCCTCAGTTTGTTCATCTGTAGATTTAGAGGGGCTTTGGTAACTAAGAGCCTTTTGCAGCTCTGACAAGTGTGCTAAATTCCCCCATTATTTTGCAGATGAGCTAACAGGCCCATTATTCAGGGTTACAAGGCTTGCTGGTGACAGAATTGGAGCTAGACGTATTCTCCTGAATTTCTTGTGCTTTCCTTGGCACCAAGCTCCTTTTCACTATCCATCTAGTAGTCAGTAGTTCCTTATCATGTTTCTGCAAGTATTCTCAGGCCTCTCTTAAAAATTAAAACAAATCAAACTTACAGTTTCCTATTAAGCTATTTCATTTTGTAGACAGGAAAGAGATCTAAGCAAGAGGGACTTGCTCAGGGTCTCAAGGCTAATGAGTGCTAGAGCATGAGTGCTAGAGTCTCCTCATCCAAGTCCAGTGTTCTATCATACCACATAGTGCTAGTCCCACCTCCTCTCCCATTAAGGGGTGTTTGTCCCCCAGTCTGTCTTTGTCCTTCCTTTTGTAGCATATTACTGCACATCTCTGAGTCAGTCTGGGCTATAAGACTGCCTTTGTGAAAGATTATCTGAGCATTGGCCAACCATTCTTCCTCTGATAGTGAACTCTTCTCTACCTGGTCCTCCTGTCTTTGTGCTGATGGTTTTTTAGCTCATCCCTGTAACTCCTCTCTTTTGGGCACTCAAAACTTAAAACAAACATTTACCAAGTACCAGCTATTTGGAGAGTATTGTCCTTATTGCTGATGAACAAAATTTAGGTAACATTTGGTTTCTGTCCTCACTGAATGTATGTATTAGTATGATGATAAGACTACAACAAGGAGTGAAATTTTCTGGTATCATTTGGCATTACAAGTGCATAAGGGAAATAAAAACAAAGTGCTCTACTAAATATGAAGACAGAAAAGCAATTGTTAAGTGGAGAGGGAAATCAGGGAAGGCTTCATGAAGTGGGAGAAGGGAGCTTTTGAACTGGACTTGAAAGGAAAGATAGGAATTTGGTAGGCAGATAGGCCAGCATTCCAGGGTTAAAGAATGGTATAGAACCAGATGTATATGTGGGATGGGAAATCCAATTTGATCATTTCCTTGATCCCTCATAGTTGTCATCAGTCAATGCTAATTAAATAATCACAAGGTTCATAGAATGATAGGATTTAAAAATTGGGAAGGGCACTGTAAATCACCTAGTCCAACCCTTTTGTTTTACAAGTGATGAAACTGTAACCTAGAGAGGGTAACTGACTTGTCCAAGGTTATATAGGTAATGGCAGAACCAAGATTTGAACCTTAGTCTTTTAACTCCAAATCCTGTACTCATGTTGATAAAATGAACCATGTTTTACTTTGGTGGAAGGGAAGGGTTGGAGAGGGGGAAGGTTGGTCCAGACCTATGATTTCATTGGTGAAGGAACCTCCCTCTACCAATGCTGATCTGCACTTGCTCATCAACTTACAGCCATAGAAAGGTGGCTAGGGCACTGAGAGGTTAAAGTGACTTGCCCAGGGTCATTCACATAAGCAGTGCTTTTCAGAGGCAGAACTTGAACCCTGAGCCTCCTAACTCCTTCATTACTCTCTCAGGGCCTATCAGGCCATGGAAATGGCATGGCCCCAGCTCTTCAGGATTGATCACCATCAGTTTAGAGAGTACCCTTGTGCCTATTCTATCTGTCATACTATTCTCTCTGTTTTTACTTTGCTTATGGCTTCATTCATGGACTACATTGTTTATCTTAGGAAGCTAATGTCCTAGAAGGACTTATTAAGCCAACATATTACTAGTGCCTAGTCACTTTAATGTTATACCCTAACTTGAACTTCTAGACTTACTTAGGGTCTTGTTTGTTTTTTTTTTTTTTAAGGAAATAAATGGTTATCAGAAATAAATTTCTTTGAAATTTTTATTAAAGCCAATACCTGGCTTCTCAGGCATCTGTCGTTGTCCCTTCCAGCTGCTTTATTTTATGCAAGCTTGTGGTTTGGTACTGTTCAATAGAAGTTGAAATGAATTGCATTTGTCACCTTAAATTCTTGTAGTTGAAAAGCCAAAGAAGCTATTTCTAATAATGTCAGATTGTACCAAGGACTAAGTCATTCATGCATGATCTATAATAATCTGATGTCTGAATTCTATATAAATATAGGATGTATGAATAAGTACATTGAAATCCTTTCATGTCAGTGTTTGCCTTTAAATTTTGAATAGGAAAAAAAAATTTTTTTCTATGTTACTGTTTGGGACAACTTTTTTTATGTTTGAAAGTTAAAATCTAGAATCGGCAGTTTTACATATACAATGACTTTGTAAATTCTGTAGGACTCTACTTTTTAAAAAAGTATATATTAAATATATCGTCATTACTTTCTAAAATGTATGTAAGATAGCACCCTAATAATTTATAATTGATTCTCTAGTATATTGTATTCTTTTGAACTTTCCTAACTTAATTTTCTGACTCAGCACATGAGTTTTCTGAAATACCTCAAAAATTAATTTATTCGTTGCATATTTAAGATATTATATGGCCTATGAATATTCTTATGGGTAAAAGTGTTAAAGTAAATCAATTAACTCCACCTATAACATAATGGGATTGGATAGGTGATTTCTGTGGTCAATTTCAACTCTAAGTCTCATGGTCATTGTTATAATGCTGTTGTCATGATACAAGGTTAGCATGTTTTATGTACTTTCCTATCAACAAGCATTTATTAAGGGCTTACCAAAGATTAAATACAATACAGGTCTTGCCTTCAAGGAGCTTAACTATCTAAATGACAGTTATACAAATATTTATAAGTAAAGGAAAAGTGCAAAGAAGAGGTAGGCAGAAGCTATGTGAAATGTGAGGAGGTGAAATCTCAGTTGGGCCTTTTAAGGAAAGGGAGGGGTTAAGTCTAAATAGACAAATGTCTGGATAGAGTTGAGGTATGGGAGATGTCATAAGGTGTTAGAGAGGGGGAAGGAGAGGATGTAACTTCGACAAGAATAGAGGATATGTGAATAGGACTAATTTGAATTAAAGCTGGAAAGAGGCTTCAGTCAGACCATTGAAAGCATTGAGTACTAGTGTTTCTACTTTGTTTGATAGACAATAAAGTCACTGAAGGTTGTTGAGTTGAGATGTATGTAGAGGATGTGATTACACAGTCTAGACAAATCATATGATAATGCTTACTACTTCATCAAAAAATGATATCCACTGCAGAGAAAATTCCCAGTTATAGTGCCACCTACTCTGGTCATTTTATCGGTAAAGAAACAGACTTGGACAAGAATTTCTGGATTTTGGTTTTGCCTCAGACTCACTGTGACATTTACTTAATCTTTTGAGCCTCAGTTTACCACTCTGTAAAATGAGGAAGTTGGATAAGATGATTGATCTGTATCCTTCAGAGCTCCAATGACATACGCTGTGTAAATTTGTTTAGGTGATTATGCGTTCTTAAACTTTTTGTATCCTGGAACCCTTGGTGAAACCTTGGGACACCTCAAAATTGTTTTCAAACGCATAAAATAAAATACATAGGATTACAAAGAAAATGAATTATATTGAAATGCAGGAATCAAAATATTAAAAAGCAAATCTAGTGACTACATGTTAAGAGCCCCAGTCTCAAATCTGTGGTAGCAGGTACCTATTGGTGCTTACCTGTAATCCCTGGGGAAGCTGAAGCTGTTGGATCACTTGAGCTCTGAGCTGTAGTGAGCTAAGCTCACTGGGTGTCTGTACTAAGTCCAGCACCAGTATGTTGAGCCTCTGGGAGTGGGAGGGCCATCAGGCTGCCTAAAGAGGGCAAACCAATTCAAATGAGAAATGAGTAGGCCTGCATTCCTATATTGATCAGTATGTAGGATCAGGCCCATATTGGGACATTACCCTTCCAACCTAGGTGGAATAGGGAAACGCAATCTCAAAATAAAATCTATGCTAGGTAAATTTGACCTTTTTAACCAATGTCTTTATGTTAAATGTGTTTGCTTAGATAGATAGTTTTTTGCTGTTATGAAGCTTCCAAGGTATTTGGAGCATAAGAATAAGCTTTATTTAAATACTTAATAGAAGTGTTGATAAATGCCATATCAACTTAAGATTATGGGGAAATTTATGGAATCAAATTTCGTTTCTTTGTGACTAACTATACAATTGCCTTTTAATATTCTATATTCAGGTCTTGAGAAAATATAAATATGAGGAATTGATACTTGTGAATGTTCCTGAAGGAAACACAAGGTTATAGAGTTAGGGGTTCACGAATTGTTTGAGCTGAAGGGGACTTGAGAGATCTAGGCCATGATGAAGTAACTTGTCCAGGGTCACTTAGCTAGTTAGTAGCAGAACCAAGATTAGAAATCATTTCTCCTAATTCCCGATCCAGTGCACTTTCCTTCACACCCATTTGTGCAAGCAGTGTTTATTGTTTATTTTTTTTTCCTCCAGAAAAAAAACTGATATTATTGGATGGATATTTAAATTGGA